GTGTAGGTTTGTGTGTATGCAGTATTTTTATGTGGTGTGTGTGTGTTTGTGGGTATGGTGACTGAATTAATTTGTTTCATGTGAGGGACCTATTCATAAGCAATTCGCTCTTTTGTGGCCCTGACCATTTGCTTTGTATTCTTTTGCATTTTCTTTTTCTTTTGTATGTTTTGATATTAACATGTATATTTGTTTTGTAGTAGTCTTTAATGTATTCATTCAATACATGTACATCATACAACTTATTTCAAATTACAATGTACATACAGTACATGTGTCCATTATGCACATCATACAACTTATTTCAAATTACAATACATAACATAACGAGTACATGCATTCAATACACGCACATTATACATCTCAAACTATTACCAATACTTAACAAAGCATATATACGTATATTTATTCACTATCACAGAAACATATAATAACTATATACAGTAAACTGTTGTAATTTATTACTCATTTAAAACAATTTAATATTTTGTGCACGGAATGAATAATATCTCCAACAAAAAAAAGAGCCGAGTCACGCACAGGCCGACACACACACGCTATATAATGGTTCAATAAATTCAATCGAATTCGATCGTGAATCGTAGGCCATCATAGGGAATTTTAGATTTGCACGTCGATAGCTTTGACTGCAACGTGTGACGTCATTTTAAGGCACTGCGCATGCGTCACGTCGTCTCAGTCGGCGATCGAGAATGCGTCAACCTTGATTTTCCTAAATCTAATACGGTACTAGTATGCCGTGTGCGCCCGCGTGCACTCTTAAGCCCCAGTCCCATATAAAGCCGGACCAGCACGGACGAGCACGGACCACTCCGGACCATCCCGGACCATGGTCTGGGGTGATCCGGGATGGTCCGGGATGTTTTGTTCAAAAAAGTGTGATGCTTTTAAAGCTACAGTCCCATATACGTCCCGGACCGTCCCGGACCATCCCGGACCCCATCCGGGGTGATCCGGGATTCGGTCCGTGTTGACACCGTGTTGGCACCGGGGTGGTCCTGGATGGTCCTGGATGGTCCTGGATGGTCCTGGATGGTCCTGGGCGGTCAATAACTCACTCCCGGACTGCCACGGATCAACACGGACCGCCCCGGCGCCACTACGGATGACCCCGGACCCAGCACGGTGGCTACACGGATCACCCGGATCAAACTATTGTCCCGGACCGTCCCGGACCACCCCGGCAGTTTTTGACCGTCAAAAACATCCGGGGTCGACTCCCGGACCGCCCAGGACCATCCAGGACCATCCAGGACCATCCAGGACCACCCCGGTGCCAACACGGTGTCAACACGGACCGAATCCCGGATCACCCCGGATGGGATCCGGGATGGTCCGGGACGGTCCGGGACGTATATGGGACTGTAGCTTTACACTATGAATATGACGGACAAAGAAAGAAGACAAAATATACAGTTCCTCAGGTAGACAAAGGAACATCCCTTCTCTGCTATCATGTAAAAATGTGTAGAACAGGTGTCACATGCATATTCACCTGTTCTACATATTTTTACATAATAGCAGTGGAGGGATGTTCTTTTGTCTACCACAGCAATTGTTAAGGGTAGATGAGGAACTGTATATTTTGTCCTCTTTCTTTGTCCGTCATATTCATAGTGTTATTTATGCATGCATGTATATCATCGAGTGAGTCTAAGATTTCTAATTGCAGTCACCATGGGCAGTTGAGTACGTTGACACGCATGATCAGTCGGCGTTCGTTGTGTTCTCATCCACTCAATCTAAAAGTCCCTACTGATGGCTATGACAAACATGACGAAGGGATTGTTGGGGGATGGGGCCGGGGGCGGGGGTGGCTCTCTTGCACTTCAGTTTTTATGTACTGAAGAGACTACCTTGTATAAAGAAAACAGAATTAATTATGAACCAATGGGACTAAATGGTTTCTATGTATGCATACAAATTATAATCGAACCCGCAGGCAAAACCATTGGATAATCACAATAGTGTCTGCATGCATACAATTCCTTTGTGTACTAGAAGTAAAGGTTGTTCACGGCAAATTCCTGATAAAGCCGCCCGCCGGCGTTTATCTCGCAGCGACTTCTTAGGTCACATTTAAACGGCGACGAGTTCACTATTAGGGGGTGGCTCTCTTGCACTTCAGTTTTTATGTACTGAAGAGACTACCTTGTATAAAGAAAACAGAATTAATTATGAACCAATGGGACTAAATGGTTTCTATGTATGCATACAAATTATAATCGAACCCGCAGGCAAAACCATTGGATAATCACAATAGTGTCTGCATGCATACAATTCCTTTGTGTACTAGAAGTAAAGGTTGTTCACGGCAAATTCCTGATAAAGCCGCCCGCCGGCGTTTATCTCGCAGCGACTTCTTAGGTCACATTTAAACGGCGACGAGTTCACTATTAGTTCAGGGCATTTTTTGGCCTTACTTGAAGTAAAAGGAGGCACTTTTCCTATGTAAAAACGAGCATGGGTCCTCAGTGAAAAGGTTTGGGGGCACTGTGTTTCCCAACCGGCTCTGGTGCCTGTGCACGCTACAAACTTGTGTGACTTGTATGATATTCGTAGCTGTCCTGATGAAAGTTGCACAAACGAGCGGATTTTATACTGGGGGGCCGAACGTTAACACCCTACGATGATCGGCCAATTACCCTAGGAGGTCCAGCGGACATTGGCGGATGTCTGACTGATGACCGCCCGATGTCCGCCCAATGTGTACATATCGGCCGGCGTCCCGCCGATCACCGCGGAGTAATCGGTGGGACATCGGAAGGGTGTCGGCAATACACCGTCCGATGTTTACTCCAAAAATTGACTGCATTTCTGCCGATTGCCCGCCGCTTATCTTAGGGTTACCCAGCGATTCCTCCATAGTCATCGATATCAAATCCGTCGCCTTATTTCTCCCCGATCTCTACAAATCGCTCGATGCCCAAAGATCGGGTACATCGCCCGACGTCCGGGTTAAATGTGACCTAGGCAGCCCCGAGTTGGATAAAAATCAAACGTCCATTTTAAGGATGTTTAGTTGAATGGTCCCGTTGATCATTTCATACGTTCTGCTTTGATAAAACTATACATCAATTCGAAGAATGCAATCGGTTTAAACTATACGTCTATTCGATGGCTGTATAGTTGTATAGTTATACGAATTATGGCATGTATAGCCTGTCATATGGCCCGAAAAGGATGTGCGTGTGTTTAAGGGTTAGGGATCGACTGAAATCGATTTTGATATTTAACGAAGCCCATGTATTCGACACCTGATAAGCATTTAAATTTTGTGCCAGCAATATTTATGATATTGCAAAGATAGACAACGTTCCTTCAAGCGTAAAATCTTGACAATAACCACATCAGCGCTACCTGATTTCCTTGTATCAGCAGTGACTGTGGCTATAATATTTTTTTGGGTTAAAGGTAATACAAAGTTTTGGTATGGGGTCATGAATTTGGTTTAAATGAACATATTGGAAGCATATGCGATCCTACAGTATTCAGTGATCTTCGTCGCGGTCAAAATCGAGTCTTAAGTTATGCAATTATAAATAATAATCAATTTACGTTGTATAGCTCCCTCTCAAGGTCAAGATATTAATTAAGCTATAAAACAATGTTTCTTGACTAATTTCGTCCGATTAGCTATTCCCGTTCGCCAATTATATACCACAACTACATATTCTGAGATTGCCATGGTCGCAGCTACCGGCATAGTACGGCCGTATGAGCTATTTGAAATTTATCAAAATTTACCGGGAGCACCGGTAAATCTTTATATTCAATTTTTCTCGAAAGCAGAAGTTTTTTAGGGGTTAACATTTCTAGTGCTTTAAAAAAAAAAAAAAGGGGCATCCAAATATATCAAAATTGTAAAGAATCACTATCCACCCATTTTTCAAAACTTTGTAATACCTTTAAGTTCACGCACAAAGAGAAGAAAAGGGTCAATTACAGCAAAAGTACGGTTTCAAGTAAACAAGATTGATCGTCAGTTGATGAGTGTATGGATATGCGACCTGGTATGCATTTCATTGTCATGACCGTGTCAAGATATGAACAAATAAACAGATAACAATCGTACAATGGGAAGTCTCCTGTAAACCCCAAAACGGAACAAAACAGGTATAAGCCATAGATATATCCAAATAAATCAATAAACTAACATTTTGAGACTGAGAAGCTTAACTTGAATGTTATGCCAGTGTTAGTGACAGCTTCCTGACAAACACAATCATACATGCCATGATGCAGGCCTAAATCTTATTCAGCTATCTATTTCTCGCGCTCACAAAATATGCATTCAAACTCGCGTTTATATATTCTGATTTTTTCTTTCTTACAGAAACATATTGGGGTTCGGTGTGTAACGAGCCACTTGGTGACAACACGTATTCTGAATCGCACAGTATCAGCCGATACGCTATGACAGGAAGGTAGGTGTACAACTATTATTTTTAAAAGCCTAATAAACCTACTGCCCGTTACAAGATACATCCATAAAACGAAACTCATATAGACCTCTTAGCAAATTAGCAAAAGAAAATTTCCCACCACGAAAAACCTTTACAGTCACTTAGGCTTTAAGGTTAAGTTATCATTGATACCATACATGTTTTTTATGTATAAGTTCATCAATATCAAGCGGTATATATGTATATTTTTTTTTTTATATACAACACTACTTGAAATGCCTGCTACTCTAGTCTCCAAAGATTCAACTACTTTTAACTACCAATCACACGTCTAATGAACCCGGATAGAGAGAGAGAGATAGAGAGAGAGAGAGAGATAGAGAGAGAGAGAGAGAGAGAGAGAGAGAGATAGAGAGGGGGGGGGGGGCATTAATATTGTAGATAGATTCTTGCTTAAGATCGTACTAAGCAATGTTCTCATCATGTTTCAACCTCTTTATTAATAGTACATGAGAAACTACTTCTATTCCATAAAGATTATTTTATCTGCATATCTTTTTTAGGCAAGGAAAAGATGGGAAATGGCTGGTGAGGTTGGAGAAGCACCTCCACGAAGTTGCAGGAGACGATAACCTCATTGATTTGGACGAGTTCATAAATGCACTGAATGTGAAGGAGGTATGTAACATGACTTCTACCATACCCATCAATTTGTTTTAATTTGTGACGCAGCTATCAACCACTTTGGACATAATGGCCCGAATTCACAAAGGAGGTTTGTCGACAAACTTTGGTTTTCGTACGTCATAATTATGACGCGTTTTACGCGTTTTTTACAAACCTGGTTTGTAAAGAACAAAAGGAGGTTTGGCGAAACAAAAGGAGGTTTGAGCTCAAACCTTGGTCTGAGCTCAAACCTTGCTTTGTGAATTCGGGCCAATATGTTTGATTAGTATTGATTTATGCAGACACAACCCCCCCCCCTCAACACTCGCATACACATATGCATATAAGAATGTATATACATCTTCATACATTAATCATAACTCATCAATGAAATGTTATTGTTCATGGATGGATCATCGAGGGGATATGTCACCGGACTGTGGATCACAAGGTCCGCGGTTCAAGTCCCGCCGCGGCACTAATGTCCTTTGGCAAGACATTGATCTACATTTGCCACTCTCCACCCAGGTGTTAAATGGGTACCCGGTAGGATGCGAAAAATAATGTGGTTGGATTAGCAAGTGGCGCTTGTAAAATGGCGACTAGCTGGAATGCTCCCCAGGGAGTGGAAAATGTGCATACATTGTGTTGCGGGTAAGCCTGAATTCGATGACCGGGGTAATAATATGTTTCGCGCCTAGAAACAAAGTATTAGGCGCATTATAAATGTGAGCTATTATTATTATTATTATTAAACGTTGTTACAGACGTCCAACAATATAAAAGTCATACATTATCAGTATTCAAAATCTTAAATGATGCAAATTTATGTTGAAAGGGAAAGAGAGAGAGAGAGAGAGAGGGAGAGAGAGAGATGTTAATGGTGACATTCATTATGATAATTATTATAGTGATTGATTAGATTTCTTTGCACTAGGGGAAATAGAACTGATGCAAAAGCAGTTGATGTTCATAAAAGCTGAAGAGAAGGTTACAAAACAATAGAGGTGGATAAGATAGAAGCATAATATGTGCTAAATTAATAGTTTAGAGGGAGAATCGATACGCTTTCAACATAACAATGTGAGGAGTTTCCGTTTCAGATTCAGTTTATTATATTATAATTCACATTAATTTCACATTTTGTAATGGATGCACTAAAAAAATAGTACAATTAAATATAAAATCTATTGAGTGAATACCTCATACAAATTTGTTTGAAAGCATTAAATTAAAAGAAAGAACGTAAATAATAATAATAATAATAGATTAATATAGCGCAGCTTTTATACAAAATATATTCAGCTGCGCTGGTTAAGAGCTCCTTTTTACTAAATTCTACAAAATAAGATCACTCAGTTGAACAAATAAGTTTTTAAATTGGATTTAAAAACATTGAGAGATGGAGTGCTTCTTATTTCTATTGGCAAGCTATTCCATAATTTGGGGGCGGCAATAGCAAAAGCACGGTCCCCAAGAGTTACTTTAGTTTTGCCATGGGGAATCTGAAGCAGTAATTTATCTGTGGAACTGCGCAGGCTACGACTGTGTGATTGGACTTTGAGTTGAAGTAATTCTTTGATGTAATTAGGGGCTTGACCGCTCAATGATTTATAGACGATTAACAATATTTTGAACGTAAAAGAAGAGTGAAATATTGAGGTAACTATGATGAAAGCTATGCTTGTGAGTTACAGGCCCTACAGAGGAGCCTGCATTAATAAGCAGAGCTTGTATATGATTAGTATTGAAGTGTATTTATAATTTGAATCTGATTAATTTGTCTTGCCTATTTAGTCCTTCTTTGCTGAGCGGTTCTTTGAGCTCAATGACAAGGATCAGTCAGGGAGTATCAGCTTGGAGGAACTGATAGTTGCTCTGCGGCTTCTTGTCAATGGAACAGAACAACAGAAGCTTCACTTTCTCTTCCAGGTTTATGACGTAGATGGTAAGGTTGGAAAATAATCTTGTAATCACAAAATCAAGATAAAGACATGGGTCGGTCCGTCGGTTTTTTTTTTGTTTTTTTTGTCGTCCTCTTTGGGCCGATATTTTTCAGCTTTGAATGTTTCTTGTTTTTTCCCCCCGCCGTCCTTTGGCTGATATTTCTCAATTTGTAATGCTTTAATACATGTGTTTCAGAGTCATCATTCCATTCCTATCTTTTTCACCTCATAATAATCCATGGTTTGCAATGTTGGGTTGAGACAACACTCTGTGCTTTCCTGCTGACGAAGTTGGTTTTCAACTACCTGTAAAACTTGCTAGCAATGTGAAGTTTGTTTAGAATAATTTGATTTTATGCATTTATATCCTAAGTCAAACAAAATATGTATTTTTGTATTCATTAATACAAAAAATTAAAAAAAAAAACGGTTTAATTTTTTTATTTGTTTTAAATGCCGACCGTAGATTTTCAGACTTTTGGGTCGGTCGCAAAAGGCAATAAAACAAGTTTTTATTTTAGGCCTAATGGTAATGGCAGCAAAGTTTTGTAATAAAAGTGAAGAAGAGTAAACCCTTCTTGGCCTCCAATGTACAATGTAGAGTACAAACGAACACCCCGCATAAATAATAATTAAAAAACACAACGAAATAAGCTTTTCAAATGACAAAGCGGCCGAATCATGTTTGAATTAATTGTGGTAATTTCTTTATTATATATAATATACAACAAATGATTTCACAACAACAAAACTACGTCTTTGACATTTCCGTTCAATCCTTATCCTAACAGGTAGCGGATTTATCGACGTTGATGAGCTCAGGACGGTACTCCGATCTTGCACAGATGAATGTGCATTGACCCTGCCCGAGGAAACATTGACGGAGCTTACTGAAATCCTTTTCGCTGATGCTGATGTCGATGGCGATGGTGAGGTCAGCTTTGAAGAGCTTTCTGAGCAGCTACAGCGGTACCCTGGCATCACATCTAATCTTAGCTTCTGGTAGGATATAAAAAGAGATCAATGAACTTGCTAAATGTTCTAAAATACTATCTACAATACACAACCCTTTAATAAATTGTTCAAATTCAAATAAAAATGCAAATGTGTGTCCAGTGCATGGAAATGTTCGCTTTTCCCGAGATAACCATCCATCAGCCTAGTCATGAATGTTTCTGAGCCCTATCCTTTTTAGGGAGGGAAGTTCCACTTTGAGCATCTTAGAATAATAACTGCCAAAGTTCTAGATGTGCTTCATGAATACCTTTTGTTTGACCTCCTGAAAAAAAATACTTCCACCTGCGTACCATAGAATGTACCGTTGGTGCATAAATGAATAATGTTACATAACTTTCATGAGCGCATATCCAGTATTCATCTCTGTGGGTTTTACCATTTTGGTACAAATGACCTTTATCTGCCCATGCGCAGATTGTATCTATGAACTGGCTTATTCTTTTCATGACTTGATTTCTTATTAAATAGTTACAATGAGTTTACAGAAGCATGATTAATCAAACTGATTGTCTTTTATCAGTGCGGCTGAGTGGCTGAACCCTAAAAAGAAGAAACCTAAAAGTCAATCACGTTGTAGCTATCATGCACTCCGCAATAACTTCTCCGTCATCATCTTCTGGATCGTCTTCGTCATCATCAACGTTGGGCTGGCAGCATGGGGTGCGTACGAAGGCTATCGTAGCGTCAATGATGAGAGGCATCCAGCGGCAATAATCATCGCCAGAAGTGCAGGTATCTGATTTATTAGTTATCTCTTCTGTACTAGTCTTTCTCGCGCTCCTCGTTCTCTCCATATCCTTAAGGCTTGTTCAGATACGGCGCGGTAAAAAAAAAAAAAGCCGCCGCGGTTCTTTTATGTGTAAATGAATTGCAACTAAGCGAAACAAGGAGTTCCGCGTATTTGGGGAGCAATCTGTATACTATAAAATACAGAAATATGAAATGCATTTAGGCCGTCATTAAAAAAACAAAAAACAAACAATGACGCGGTTTTTCCGAGTCATTTTTGAACGAGTCTTTATTTATCTCACTTGACTTGCTGCACTGGAAATACTGCCTGATTACCATGTTGTAAACGAAGCAATACTTATCTATAATTTTGCTAACATCACACTACAGGTCGCTGTCTTAGTTTCGAATGTTGTTTTGTCCTGGTCCTGATGCTTCGGAAGCTGCTGACGATATTACGTAATACGTTCCTGATGTCGGTACTCCCTCTCGATCAGCATGTCATAATCCACAAGATTGTTGCCATCTTCATCATCATCTTGTCTGTTATCCATACAGCCGGTCATATTGCAAATATCGGTGAGACAGTCACGAATTCCTTTATAAATAAAGCAAACTTTTTATAGTAGAAATTGAATGAAGAAAACTGAAATAAACTTTCATTATCTTGCCGTATTGTTTTATTGTTTAATGTTCTCACATTGTATGATAATTGTTACAACATTGATTTGCAAGTTGAATTTGTTTCTATCTTGTAAACTGAATTTAATTCAGCCTTAAGGCAATATGTTGATAAACCATAAACCAACTCATGATTTTTGACATTATTGTGTCTCATTGTCTGAAAACTTGGTAGGGGCAGCCTGTGTTAGAATTAGAATTAGTGTTGACGTAGGGTTACGGTAAGGGTTTTATGATACCACTGAACCAATGGGACCGATTGGACGTAGATCAGAGCCAATATACTAAACGATCTTGTTCAAAAATAAGATGGGAAAACAAAAACGATAACCTGCTTTATAAAGAGTTGCTCGTGAATACCCTCCTTGTAATTTTAAAGTATAATGTTTTTTTTCCTTCATAAATAGGATTGATCTACCAGGTAGAGAATGTAAATGGCACAACAGCTGCATGGATTCGTAATGTCCTGGTCCGACCTTTTCCCGGTCTTGGCCTTGTTGAAGGTTCTTGTATCATCACTGGTATTTTGATCATCATCGTACTCATCATTATGACGATCTGCTCATTACCCTTTATCAGGAGGAACGGATACTTCAAAGTGAGCTTTTAATCTTCTTTTAGCTCAACCTTTTATTCCTTAGACAATAAATTGATTTTGATTGTCTCTAGTCAAAGTCAGTTCTATGTATTTGCCAATAATTGTCACCAATCAATGTGACGTTTCTGATTTCCGTTTTGAAATTCCTTAGTTCTTACATTGACTTCAAATAGCTGCCAGAATACAAATAGCAACGCTTGATAAGAAAACACAATACGCCGCCAATGTTTTAAATTTATTTGCTGTCCATTATTCTAAATTCAGAGTTCTGACTACTGAAATACATTAGCTATATAATATTCAAGTCGGCTATACCCGCAAAAAGGTCGTTACTACCACTGACAGTTCGTAGCTCATATGGCCTCCATGTGGGCATTTATTAAATAACTAATCCATATTCAACCTTTGTTAACCAATGAAGAAATAATGAGTAATTGACCCTCGGGTCTTTTTTTCGTTTTTGTTTTGTTTCCTAGGTGTTTTACTGGACACATCAGTTGTGTATTGTTTTCTGGTGCTTGATTATCATACATTCTAAATACTTCTGGATATGGTTTATCGCACCAGGCATAATCTACCTTGCAGAACGCCTTCTACGTTTTGGATTCTTCAGACGAGCACGATTTGGTAAAGTCTACATTCAGAAAGGATACGTGTTACCTGCTAATGTAAGTATATCTCATGAATTGCTAACAACCCAGCCATATTGTGGCAAATGGCAATATTACAGAAAATTTGCAATATTACGGAAAATTAAGTTTCCTGAAGTCGAGCATTTTGTGAGGTCATGTAGCAACCGAGCGAGAATTTGTTGTTTACTTCTTGTAGTTTGAAACTTTCAATTTAAGGCACTTTGATCATATAGGCAATTATCACTCCTTCAATCTCTCCATTGATGATAGGCAGGGTTCAATCGTCATTTAGATATTTTCCCACCGTTTTCGGGAGACAACTCCGAGAAACTGACGATTATCCACCTTTTAAGAAGTGAAAACTTGCATTAATGAGTACCTCAGAACCTAAACGTGTTATATCATTGATGGCACCAATAGACTTATTACGGAAGAAAATAACAGCTGTATTAAAAAAAACAAGATATCGATGCAATATTTTTCTTTCCTCCTTTTCTTTCCTTTTTTCCTTTCTCTTTTTCCTTCTTTCTTTATTTCTTTTTCTTCATTCGTTTCTCATTTTCCTTTCAATTTTTTTTCTTGGTCATGAAACTTGAAGTTGAGGGGGTAGTAGCCCCCAAGCACCTCCACCAGTACGCCTGTGGTCAGGGGCAGCGATCCAGGGTGGGGGCGGGGGATACGTCCCCCCCCTGAAAATTTGAAAAAGTGCACAAAATAATTTTTTAGCAAATACTGACTAAAGACTGCAACACACTTTTAGGCTATGGAGGGCCCAAGAGTGCAGCGTTTAGACTAATAAAAATGCAAAATCATCTCGCTCGGTCGCTAACCTCCCTCGCATAATATCCTTTAAAATATACAAGTAAATATTGTAGAAAATCTGTATTCTGTCGGTATCACGTAAGCACTGTTTACACTGTATGTCTACAAGATTAAGAGTTATAGAAATGGATCAGTGCTATATAAATGAATATTCCGCTTGCTCTTTTCAGTATGGAGTCACTACAACGTAAATCTTTATATTTGCCAGGCTGATATTTGCCATTTCAACTCCCATAGCGATATAAATATGTATATGACAGAGGTCTAGAGTGGGAAATATAAATCCCATCCATGCCCTAGCTCCCTACTTACTAAAATCTTCCTACTAAATTGATATTCGGACTGCATACTACTTACCTGCAAAGTAAAAGTGAAGTGTGAAAAAGGGGATATTGCTTGGTTTTATACCCTAGTTTGCTAGAGAATGTTATTTTTTTTAAGACAACAAAACTTCAAAAACCAGTAAGGAGATTGTCACTGCCGTCACCTTCGCCTCTCTCATTGACTATGCTCCCTCGTCCCTCGCATTAGCGTACTGATGGTGGGCTTAGGGGCAGTTGCCCCCCCATAAATTCAAACGTGGTTTATTTCTCATTCGATACCAGTGATATACAAATGTTGCTGAGTGAAATTACATGATTTTCCTGGATTTTTTCTCACTTTTGTAAATTATACTTTCGTAATGCGTTTATTGGAAAATGACAAATCCCCTAATTTACAGTCAGGCTAAAACTATGCTTATTAAGAAGCCTATATTTTAGGGCCCGGCTCAGGGGGCTCGAGCCGCCCCCGACCCCCTCACTTTTTAGAAAAAGTATGTTGAAGATAAATAGAAAGAAAGAATAGTGACCTGCCAGTGTGACAAAATGAGGGATGATAAAAATACGCTCATCTGACCGTTATTAAATACCTAAAACCCCTGAGCTTGCGGGCCTCCCTCCCCTGGATACTCATCAGACCGTCATTAAATATCTAAAACCCCTCAGCTTCCAGGAGCTCTGCTCCCTGGACCCAACCAAGGGCTCTTAGGCGGGCCCCTGGTTGTTCATCTGTTCGTATTTTAATACCTTTAAATAACCTGAGCTTCCTGGGGCTCCACCCCTTGACTCCCGCTGGGGCTTTGTCCCTGGACCCCACGCAAATGTATGTTCCACTCGCTACGCTCTATTTGATCATTAATACTTTACCCCCCCCCCCCCACTGTAAAAGACGTTCCGCGGGGCAATCATGTAACATTATAAGAGTGGTGGTGATGCAGATTTTTGTTTCTTTCTGCCCCCCCCCCCCTCCTCCCTAATCGTTTTTGCTCATTACGCCACTGGTCCCTCGCATTTCGTCCCCCGGTCATGAAAAGAAATCGCCGCCCCTGCCTGTGCTACAACTCATTGTGTCTCAGGGATTCAAGAAGAATTTGAGATTGATACTTGATTCTTGCCGTCAGGTAGAGAAAGAAAACAATAGTATACTTAATTTAAAGATTCATAGATTTAGATATATAGATTTAAAGACTTTTAAATTCAAACGGTCTCGTTTCCTGACGATTTCTTTACAGGTTGTACATCTTGTTATCCAGCGTCCCGCTAATTTCAGGTTCCACGCAGGAGAATATATCCATGTTAATATTCCATCCATATCATTTCATGAGTGGCATCCTTTCACCATTAGCAGCGCACCAGAACAACAAGGTACGGTTTTTCATCTTCTCTCTCTCACTCAATTTTGTCTCTCTTATATATGTCTTTAATTCCTTTCTTGTTTTTCTTTTTTGCCTGGGGAGGATACACAGTTGGTACATTGCAATGGTAGAGCCACCGAATGATCTATATTGCATTTAGTGGTATTAAAGGGTTTGTGCCAAATCCATTGGACCATTTTAGCTATTTTGTATTCTTCTGTCATACCTTTTTTCTTCTTCTAATATTTAACCGTGAAGACATTGTCTATTTTACATACGAATTTCTTGCGTACTTGTGTTGTTTCAAACAACTGAACGAAGCTTGGCGTATAGGCAAATCTAACATTTCCATATATGGCATTGTTTATATCGCAGATTTCTTGACTCTTCATATAAGATGTGTGGGACACTGGACAAAGCGACTCTACAATGTCGTCAGAGAACGTCAGCTCGCTCTTCTTGAAGACGAACCAGGCTTTGGCGAGATCGACAAAGAACACGACTCACCTTTAGAGGTCATCGTTGAAGTTAGTTCTACCAAGAGTACATCAGCCGTGGAGTCTAACAGCCAGCAGAGCACCACCTCGGATATACCAATTGATAATAACGGACGTAGATCTTCAAAAACATACAACAAAAGAAGGAGAACCGCAAGAGGTGCAACCAACTTAGGCTTCGTGCCAGAATTACCGAACGGTGACAAAGATGGAACCAAGACCGTAACAGAGGGCAAACCATATAACACTGGTCAGAACGATGATGAATCACTTGCACAGAAAGTGAATCCAACACAATTAAGTCTTCCACGTAAAGCTGATCACCCATCTGCTTCCCAAGGTGATTGCCAACCGATGCCTCACAAAGAGCTGGGCGAAATATCTATGACTTTAGCGGTCAATGGCAACAGTTTCAAAATGAAATCGTTGAACTCTCGCCAAAGCATTGATGTACAGGAGGCACCTCGAGGGAATACCACCAAAAGACAATCACTGAGGGTTAGACTGTCTCTAGCTGGTCGGCAAAGGAGAAGCGTCTGTGGAAAGCCAAACGGCGATGTTAACAGGAAGATGAGTTTAGTGACGTTAAGAAGGAACGGTGCCCGACATTCGTTGGATCTGTCAAAGGATTTAGGCGGTACACCTCACACTGGATTGGAAGTAAGTGCAGGCCTACCAACAAAATAATTCACTGTTAAAATTGAAGAATCATCAATGATAAATTTTGAAACATGGTTAAACTAGTAAATGGTAAATGCTTGTTTAAGACCGATGTTCACTGTAGATCGATGAGAATGTGGACAACGATGGGTGATGTTATCATGAACGTCAACTGATATTTGCAAAAGGCATTCAACCTTGCTTGATTATTTTAAAATACAATCATTCCACTTCCGCTTTTACCGTAAGACATCAACAACAAAAACAGATCAAGGGTGAAAAGATATTCAAGGGCATCAAGTCACACAAGATGGAGTTCTTATACAAATTAATTATGATAACTATCACAAAATTAGAAAGTACCTTGAAGCTTCGTCTCAACACTCAATGCCACTTTAAATATGTAACAAATACGTAAGAATGGCAAAATCATGATTTATTTATCACCATGTTCCCCTCAGGTTATATTAGATGGTCCGTATGGGGCACCTGCGCAGCATATCATGGAGGCTGAACATGCCGTACTCATCGGGGCAGGAATAGGCATCACACCGTTTGCCTCTATCCTACAGAGCATACATGAGAGATATAAGGCGGCCAAGAAGCAGTGTCCAAACTGCAACCATACTTGGGTGACCGATACATCATCTATCCTGAAAACCAAGAAGGTAGAAAAACAACACAATTTACATTCATTTTTTTATATGAGATTATTTAACACTACAAAGTGTAAACAACAGACGGGATCTAAATATGACAGCGAAGGGGGAGGTGTAACATGATTGACATTCATAATCATAATAGGTTTGGCGTACTATCAAATTATTGTTAATGCTTTCTTTAAACTATGTTCACTTAACATATGTAATCTGATTGAGGAAGGGTTGATATGGGTATATATTATTTATTAATATTCTAAAAGACTTTGGAAACTCATCTCGATAATATATATTTCGCTTTCTTTATTCTTCAGTGTCAAGTCTGACCAAACAGGATAGAAATAAACTGATAGGGAATAAAGTAGAGAAACGATACATAAAGAGGAAAGTTCAGTCATGTTGTGATGACAACGTTAATGGCGAGGATGGTTACTATAGTTATGCTAATAAACATACTCATTAATATGTAAGGTATATTCATCTAAGGGACAATCGAGATGATGGAATGATTATCTTCCACTTCCTTCTTAATTCCTTTTTTTTCAAAGGTGGACTTTTTTGGATCAATCGTGATCAACATTCCTTCGAGTGGTTTATCAGCCTCATCAGCGCCATCGAGTTGGAACAGGCTGAGATACCTGCAGCAGATCGCTTTCTCGACATCCATCTCTACATGACATCAGCTCTCTTACCCATAGACATGAAGGCCATCGGACTCCACGTCGCTCTCGATCTCATTCACAAGAAGAAAAATCGAGATACGATCACGGGCTTGAAGACGAGGACCCAGGCTGGAAGGCCGGATTGGGACGAGGTAGGCCATGTTTTCCACATGATCTTGCAGTCATGTAGATCTGTCCCTTTCTGTCGTCCTCCTTTCACATTTTCCTGATAAATTAAAACAATGTTTATTTCTCTCTCTCCTCCCACCCACATTCTCTCTTTATATTTTGGTCTCCGCCCCTGCTCTATTTTTCCTATCTGGGCACCATCCTCTTAAAAAAAAAAAAAAAAAAAAAAAAAAAAAAAAAAAATTGTCTTTATTTGCTCTTAATTCAATTATCCTTCTTTTAAGGTTCCATATCAGCATGTAATCTCGAATTCAATATCACTGGTTTAGTTCGGCTCCCCTTTTCTGTTTCTTTACCGGCACGAGGTGGCAATATTGTAATGATTGTAATACTGTTAAAATAATGTTTGGTCTTAATCAGGAACATAATGGAACACAACTTTGCTGGTCATGTTTTTATTTTGTATAAATAAATAAATGGAAGTTTGAGTATAACCGGGAAACATACATAATGAATGTCTTTCGCTCCTTTCTCATTTACGTAATCACATTAGGTTTTCCAAAACCTGAAACAGCAGCACAAAGGCAAGATCACTGTGTTCTTCTGTGGCTCTCCTGCTCTAGGAAAGATCCTCTCAACCAAATGCTTACAGTACCACATGGAATTCAGAAAGGAGAACTTCTAAGACCATGAAGACATCATGTTTTCAAGAATTGACCAAACACAAAGTAATCTAACTTTTTAAAGATTTGAAACGGAAAGTGCAGCAGTTACTAAAATCCGCACACCGCGTGTCCCATTCGGCACAATACTTTCATTCATTCATTTTATTCAAAGGTGAACATATCTCCATATGACAATAGACTAATGATTATCTATGTTTATCACTGAGATTAGTGCAATCACTTCATATGAAAATGTCGAAAAATAACACTTTTTTCTTCTTGTGTTATGGTCATATGGTTGTGCCTTGTGAAAGCCAATATTAACTTCAGTCAAACTTCATATTGTATTTTGGAGTATATTTTGAAATTAAGAGAATCAACAACTGCTGTACAACACTGATATAGATGAGAGATAGTGAGAGTAGTTACCTACATAAAGAGGGGGAGAAGAACGGGCAAGATAATGGATATTGGAACATATACGTTTACATTATTCGGGTGTTATCTAAGTAATGTATATATCGTTATTTTACAAAATTTCCCCAAAATGTAATACAATATAATAAGTATGGAAATATAAGAGTATTGTACATGGAAACCATAAATGGTAAAAGACGGTGCCTTATCTTATACAGAATACCAGTGCATCTCGATACTTTACCGATTGCATAATTTATACGGGCATCCCACTTAATCCAAGGAAATTATCAGAAATCGCTTTCGTTAGTGAAGTAGAATTTACATGTTTGTATAGGGCTATTGTGTCCAGTTAATTTAATAAATATTTGATATTTTTATTATTGAATATAAAGTATACTTCTTATTAATTATTAGTATATTGGCTTTAAACCGTTTGGTAAGTTAAAAATTAGCATTCTGCATACATTGTAAATACGAACAAATTGATTACCATATACTTGATAATCAAGTAAACGTTACAACCATTTGAGCATTTCTAGTGGAACGCCCCGGACACCATGAAATTTCGGTTTATGTAAGAGTATATTATGAATATATTATGATGTAAGAGTATATTATGAATATATTATGATGAAAGAGTATATTATGATGTAAGAGTATATTATGCTGTAAGAGTATATTATGATGAAACAGTATATTATGATGTAAGAGTATATTATGATGTAAGAGTATATTATGATGTAAGAGTATATTATGCTGTAAGAGTATATTATGATGAAACAGTATATTATGATGTAAGAGTATATTATGATGTAAGAGTATATTATGCTGTAAGAGTATATTATGATGAAACAGTATATTATGATGAAAGAGTATATTATGCTGTAAGAGTATATTATGATGTAAGAGTATATTATGATGTAAGAGTTTATTATAATGTAAGAGTATATTATGATGTAAGAGTATATTATGATGTAAGAGTATATTACGATGCAAGAGTTTATTACGATGTAAGAGTTTATTATGATGTAAGAGTATATTATGATGTAAGAGTATATTATGATGTAAGAGTATATTATGATGTAAGAGTATATTATGATGTAAGAGTATATTATGATGTAAGAGTATATTATGATGTAAGAGTATATTATGATGTAAGAGTTTATTATGATGTAAGAGTATATTATGATGTAAGAGTATATTATGATGTAAGAGTATATTATGATGTAAGAGTATATTATGATGTAAGAGTATATTATGCTGTAAGAGTATATTATGATGTAAGAGTATATTATGATGTAAGAGTATATTATGATGTAAGAGTATATTATGATGTAAGAGTATATTATGCTGTAAGAGTATATTATGATGAAACAGTATATTATGATGTAAGAGTATATTATGATGTAAGAGTATATTATGATGTAAGAGTATATTATGATGTAAGAGTATATTATGAATATATTATGATGTAAGAGTATATTATGATGAAAGAGTATATTATGATGTAAGAGTATATTATGATGTAAGAGTATATTATGATGTAAGAGTATATTATGATGTAAGAGTTTATTATGATGTAAGAGTATATTATGATGTAAGAGTATATTATGATGTAAGAGTATATTATGATGTAAGAGTATATTATGATGTAAGAGTATATTATGATGTAAGAGTATATTATGATGTAAGAGTATATTATGATGTAAGAGTTTATTATGATGTAAGAGTTTATTACGATGTAAGAGTATATTATGATGTAAGAGTATATTATGATGTAAGAGTATATTATGATGTAAGAGTATATTATGATGTAAGAGTTTATTATGATGTAAGAGTATATTATGAATATATTATGATGAAAGAGTATATTATGATGTAAGAGTTTATTATGATGTAAGAGTATATTATGATGTAAGAGTTTATTATAATGTAAGAGTATATTATGATGTAAGAGTATATTATGAATATATTATGATGAAAGAGTATATTATGATGTAAGAGTTTATTATGATGTAAGAGTATATTATGATGTAAGAGTTTATTATAATGTAAGAGTATATTATGATGTAAGAGTATATTATGATGTAAGAGTATATTACGATGCAAGAGTTTATTACGATGTAAGAGTTTATTATGATGTAAGAGTATATTGTGATGTAAGAGTATATTATGATGTAAGAGTATATTATAATGTAAGAGTTTATTATGATGAAAGAGTATATTATGATGTAAGAGTATATTATGATGTAAGAGTATATTATGAATATATTATGATGTAAGAGATTATTATGATGTAAGAGTATATTATGAATATATTATGATGAAAGAGTATATTATGATGTAAGAGTATATTATGATGTAAGAGTATATTATGATGTAAGAGTATATTATGAATATATTATGATGAAAGAGTATATTATGATGTAAGAGTATATTATGATGTAAGAGTATATTATGATGTAAGAGTATATTATGAATATATTATGATGAAAGAGTATATTATGATGTAAGAGTTTATTATGATGTAAGAGTATATTATGATGTAAGAGTTTATTATAATGTAAGAGTATATTATGATGTAAGAGTATATTATGATGTAAGAGTATATTACGATGCAAGAGTTTATTACGATGTAAGAGTTTATTATGATGTAAGAGTATATTGTGATGTAAGAGTATATTATGATGTAAGAGTATATTATAATGTAAGAGTTTATTATGATGAAAGAGTATATTATGATGTAAGAGTATATTATGATGTAAGAGTATATTATGAATATATTATGATGTAAGAGATTATTATGATGTAAGAGTATATTATGAATATATTATGATGAAAGATTATATTATGATGAAAGAGTATATTATGATGAAAGAGTATATTATGATGAAAGAGTATATTATGATGTAAGAGTACATTAAGATGTAAGAGTATATTATGATCCACAATATCGAAAGCCTCGGACAGGTTTTGAAATATTCCTATCCCTTATGTATTTGAACTAATAGAAGAAACAACATTACCCTGTGAATTCATCAACGAAGGAACAGTTGAGTGATCGGAACAAAAACTATAATGACTATTTGTGATAATATTCTGTGGATATGTAAATAGAAACTGATTCTGTATATACTTTTTAGGTAATTGCTTTAGGGCTGTAGTACTGAGGCAGGCCTATAGTTTTCAACTAGGTGAGGGTCATTTTTATAATCAAGGGTGATTTCGGCTGTTTTTAATTTTTCAGCAACTATACATGTTATTAAAGGCAGTTTAAAAATGTACGTTAAGGAATTAACAATGGAATATATTATTCTTTCAGAATTACGGAGCCGATTTGCTATTGTGTAGTGATTTACATATTTCTATAAGTGCAGTTATATGATCGAGATCTTTTAAATAATCTGTAAAGTTTAGGTACAATTATCTTGTTGCAGGGAAGTGATGGCTTTATAGTTACAAGAGTTTATGTTTTGAATTCATCCGTAATTTGATGTGTATCATCAATTTCACGAAAAAATATTTAAGATGACTTCGTTGGGACCTGCTTATAAATAGTTCATCACAGACCATGCACTACTTGGAGGTCAGACTTTAGCATGCGATTATTTGCATATGATTTAATTATATTATTTTAAAAATATTTTAAGGACAATATATCGGTGCATCTTGGGTACGTCACCTGTTTTGTATATACATGTACAGTATGTACACTCGGGTACCTATTCAGTAGTTGGGAGTGCTAAACAGGAATACATGTCTTGCCAAAGGAGGGTAGTACCGGGCTGGGGTTCGAACCATCAAGCTTGTGACTGTTAGTCAAGTGAATTAACCACTATACAACGACACCTTCACATTGTTTAATTTTCAACTGCTTGAACTACTTTTCATACGTCTAATCAACAGAACGAAAAAGGCTGGAAGTTGGATTGATTTTCTTCGTTTTAAAACGTAGTGTTAATTCATTGCTTCTCAGATTCATGCAACATAATCTCATAAAGTGAAACAAGTTTACCTTCTTTCCTTTTATCATGTGACCAATTTTAAGTATGTTTTATTCTACCAAAGTTTGAAAAACTTGTACACATTTTTCACTTTTACTAGAGTGTTTATGCTTGTATTCATAAGGTTTATCGATTATAGAAATGCTTGATCAATGCGCTAGACTCTAGAGATTGACGATGGTTTCGTCGTAACAATTAAAGATAGATTACACTTAAAGAACTATGTTTATGACACTCATAATTTTTGCAATTAACTTATTTGAACAGAAAGTGCTGGCTAGCAGCCTAGTGCATGTTTTGCTTATACACTGATGCATCTTCGACAGTAGTCCAGGATCTGGCCTATTTAATTTTGATCTCCACAAGCTACCTCTCCCTACTTACTTGCTACCAGCCGATGATGGCGTGATCATTAAATTAGGACGCCCGGCGAAAAAATAGGCTGGGCTGGTGGCGTCTTATTATGAGTTTGTTCATAGGAGTCCACTGGGCCGGCACCAGTTGGCGCCAGTTTGCGCCAATGCAATCTACTGTGGCGCCTAGTGTCGCCAATAAAGTGCCTAGTGGCGTGTAGTGGCTCAAACTGCCTCCCAACTGGCTCGTGGTGGCCCGTAACGGCACCAAATTTGAATGTGGCGGCAAGAAAATTTCAAAATGTTTGAAATTTTCGTCGCGCCACTTGCATCGAGCAATCAGCGCCAAGTATCCGCCAAGTGGCACCAAATGGCGCGAACATATCGCCCTTTGGCGCAAACAATCCGCCTATTGGAATCCACTGGAATGTAATAGCTCGCGCCAAGTTGCGCCAATGAGATTTCGCGCCACATGCCGCCACTTGGCGCCAAGGGGCACCTTGTTTGCGCCACTACTCGAGCCAAACGGCACCCGATTGGTGACTACTTCGCGCCAAATGCCACCTGATTGCCCGCCATTCGGCGCCACTTGCCGCCTATAAAAGCAGGGCGGCATCGCAGGACTTTCTCACAGTGATGGCGGCAGTTCTCCAAGCTCCAGGGATGAGGTTGTGCTGGGCATCCTCCTGGTCCAACATGCGGACGTCCAGTGCCTGATAGCGCTTCCTGGTGAGGTTGTGCAGCATGACGGCAGCTTCAATGAGCAGGCGGACTGTGTCTGGTTCCTGTCTCATCTGGCCAAGGAAGCACTGGAACCGCAGAGCCAGAATACCAAAGGCATTTTCAACCACACGCCTTGCCCTGGACAGCCTGTTGTTGAAGATCTTCTGCTGTTGGTCCATGTTACGACGGCCATAGGGCTTCATCATGTACGTCCTCATGGCGAAGGCATCGTCTCCCACGAAGAAGTACGGCATAGGGTGCTCTT